GTCCTGGGATTCAACCAGTCACAAGACCAGCCGACCACCCAGGACTTATATAAATGAACCAGACACTTCACCCAAAACCCTGCTGAAGATATTACGTACTTTGGTAACGAACCATCCAGGAGCCAAGCAGCAATACCTCTGCCTACAGATATTCTCCTTTATTAGATTCCATTTCTGCCATGCATTCATGTTCTTGGAAAGTAACTTAGCCTTAGTGCTATACTTGGAGATGCAATTATGTGGGATGCTGTATCTATTACAAACTCATTGAGAGGCACTAAAACCCAGTCACCACTTTAACAAAAAATCAATAGGAATTATTGCAGAGGAATCAGTATTCCACCCAAAACCACAATAGTTTTCAATCTTACAAAGGCATGTTCCTAAGTAAAATCCCACATTGCAATTTCCTCCAAGTAAACATATGGACCAGCCTTCCCCAAACTGATTGGAGATAATGGAATAATAATTCATCACATCCGGAAGCCCTGTGTTGCTGAAGAATAATGCAGAGGAGGTTCCAATAGGCTTATAAGAAAGTTATAAGAAAACCAAGGGCAGGGAAAATATTTCTAACCATAAGAGAACAGAACATTTGAAGACGTTTTCCTCAGTGTATCCATAAATTACATATTCCCAGAATATGTGAAGAAGAATAATTTGCTAATGGGTGGATAAAATGTGAAAAACCTTTAGATAATGTTTATGTAAATTATGCAGCTCTCTGTCTTTTTGGCTTATCTTGTATTTTCTTGTTAGACACAGTTACACCATAATACCATAATAATGATGAAGCACCATAAGCTCAGACATAGGTTGTCCTCCTCCCCTGCATATTTGGCCCATATTTCTCTTACTTATTTGATAATAACAAATAATTCCTTTTCCAAACTTAGTTAGCTTGGATTTTGGGATACTGCACATTATATCAATATAGCAATCTTTAAAGGGTAAAATAATTTGGCACCAAAATCTTTTGTAAATTGCTGCTTCATGACAAATGTTTGAACGGAATTAATTTGTATCTATAATTTAAAAAATGAAACTAAGCTATTAGTACATCCTTATAAAGAGCTATAAAATTCAATAGTAGAACAAAATGGTTCCATTTAACAATTCTTTAAGAATTCATTGATTTTTCCCCTCTCTTTCAACTTGCTTTCCTTGGTGTATTCTTTACCAAATTACATTCTTTTGAATGAAGAGGAGAACCAGCTGTGTGATATACAAAATGAAATTGCACTGTAGCTTTGGCAAATTTTAAACATCAGAATGGTCCGATGTAAAGGGCTTCTGTTACTTTAATAGTTAAGATAAAGGGACCTGCAAATGGTATAGTTTCATGATAAGCTACACTTGGTGGGTATCATACTCTGCCTCTCTCTTTCTCTCTCAAAACTCTAAAAGGCTCAGGAATCCTACTCTTTTTTTATTTTAACTTTGCCACATTGATAAAAAAGAAGAAAGATATTGATTTAGCAAAACAATGAAGGCACACTAAAACTGGAAGGGATATTAATAACATTAGAAAAGAATTTTAGAAGATTATATCTGTTTGAATGAGGGAAAGTCTGCTAGATAGCCAAAATGTTGGCTTCTCTCCCATCCGATTTTCATGGGTCTATTCATCATAGGATGTCTGAAATATGGATTGTTTTTTTAAATAGTTCAGGAATACACATCAGATGCTTTCTATAGTAGTAGCTCTCACATGATAGGAAAGTAGCCTCTTCCACATTGGTGCAGTCCACATGTGGGTTACTATTTGGAAAGTTTTGGTAAGATTAAAAGAATATGTATGAAAGACCCATTTTTCTACAACGGGTGTCAAACTGCTGGCCTGTGGGCCGGATGCGTCACCAGGAAACCGCACCCACCCCATTGCCGGCAATGGGGAAAAAGCTCCGATATGTTGCGCGACGTCACATGACATCGCAAATTTGACATGTCTGTTCTACAAGGATAAGACACCAACCATTGAACAATTTCAAAATTGCCTCATGTTCTTATAATAATGAAAATAGTCAGCTTCTTGGACCTCTAATTAGGTCTGTACCACTCTGTGTCACTGGGACAGATGTTAACCCAGGGGGTTGGTAACTTTGGACCCAGTTATGCTGGCTCAGGAATTCTGGAGTTGAAGTCCACAGGTTGTAAAGGGGCCATAGTTACCCATCCCATTGTTAACCAGTAATATCACTAAAAACGGTCATGCGGTTCCTTGCCCAAGATATTCAAAACAATTAAAACAAACCCTGACTAATTCTAGGATACAGTATACAGTAATTACTGCTGAACAGATAAAATCAAATGTGTAGTTTTGGTGAACCATGTCCTGAGAACCTATTTCTAGATGTGTATTAAAAGACCATGTTTTTGTTGGTATGAAAATCATACAATACAAAGATGCTTCTGAGCATATATAAAATATCAGATCCTGTATAAGAGTTGAATATAGGGAGACCAAGCCCAGGCTTAGATAGTTTTTTCTGTTTGGATCTGCCATCTGCATTTAAAACAACTGAACTTTGAAGAGTGTATGCCCCTTTTAATAATTTTTACTTATTTCTGTTGCTAAAAATATTGATAGAAACATGGAAAGGGATTGGACTTGAGAGTGTTAACAGCTGGAAGCTTGGAAGCACAACTGGAGAGTCTTTTAAAAGTTGGAGGCAAAACTACCAGGTTATATTTTGTTAAGCTGTATCTTGGATAATTATGTTAACAACTGAGAGGCAGAAGCAAGTCTTGCCTGCAATTGTCAATAATGTGATATAAACAATTCTAAAATAGAAGATTTGTAGACTGTAATTTTCAGGGAGCTCAATTCAGATTGTACATCTCATAGTACAATCTGAAGAATGGCTGCGGAACTTAGGTTTGGCTAGTCTAAAGAAGAGAAGAAATAGGGGAGACATGATAGCAGTATTTCAGTATCTGAGGGACTGCCACAAGGAAGAGGGGGTCAGGTTGGTTACCAGAGCACCAGAGGGAAGGACAAGAAACAATGGTTGGAAACTGATCAGAGAGAGAAGCAACCTGGAATTAAGGAGAAACTTCCTGACAGTGAGGACAATCAACCAGTGGAACAGCTTGCCTTCAGAAATCGTGGGCGCTCCATCACTGGAAATTTTCAAGAGGAGACTAGATAATCACCTGTCTGAGATAGTATAGGTTCTCCTGCTTGAGCAGGGGGCTGGACTAGAAGACCTCCAAGATGCCTTCCAATTCTATTCTGTTCTGTTCTGTTCATTCAGTAACATCACTAAGAGATCTAGTCTAGTCTACTAGTCCTACTTTGACTGTCCTCCAGAATGACAGATCTGCCATAACATCTCCAACTGGAAGTCTATACTATAGAAATCTGTCAGAATAGGGTTTTACACAAGATTTTAGACCTGTTTATGAGAACATAAGCTGCAGACATATCCGTTGAATATTGAAATCTGGTTGTTGCGCATTGTCATCCCTTATTTAAAAATGTTAACCTGAGGAGGTTAGATCAAGCAAGGATAGGAAAAACATTCTGGTCTAGAATGTCTCAGTCCAAAATGCCAGTCAATAATATTTTGGGACATCTTTTCTCTCTCTCTTAGAATCTGATGCAGAAACAGTGAATTTTTATTATGGGTATTTAAATTGTGCCTGCAGTTTGCTTGACTTCTACATTTGTAAATTCCAATAAAAGCAAAACAAAGCACCTCTGAAGGTTTCCTAAACAAAATCAATTTTAATTAAATGCACTCCTAGAATTTCTAACTGCATGAATGGGCAGGATTGGAAATGGATTAGAGATGAATTAGAACTATTATTATCAAATTTATTTGCTGCCCGTCTTGCAGTTTGAAATAACTCTGACCAGTTATAAGATATATAAATCTATACAAATCCAAGGGATATAATTTAAAGAAATCCAATTACAATTAGTGAAACAGAAGCCATCCTTGGAAGATGTACTAATTATTAGTATAAAAAGACAGCATATACAAACTTTATTGCAATGAGTTTCACTTATAAAAAATATAGTTGTTATAGTTGCCCAAGGTATCCTATCTTAGTAAAAGTTCGGACCTGCATTCCAGGTAGCAGTCTCTTGCATAGACCTCTAGCATTTATTGTGTGGATGAAAATGCTCATTGCTGCTATAACTGAATCCATCCAGTTTGTTGCTGCTCATCTTCCCCATCCTTTCACCAGTGGCATTATTATAGATTTCATCAGAGAGCCACTGAATAATTTTTCCAAAGTATAATAATTTGTACTTCAAGTGAAAACTCTGGGTTGATTTGTTCAATAATTCTTTTGCTTGTCTTCTTGGCTACCAGTTTTATTTTTAAGATTCTTCTTCAACACCAACATTCAAAAGTGTAAACAACTCTTTCTATCTTGCTTCTTCAAAGTCCAATTAATGCTTCCTTAGAGTATCACAGGGAAGAATCATTGCCGGCTTGATTCCGATCTTTGATTTTTGAGTGGGATGGATTCTATCCACTTCCTACATGTGCCTGCTGCCTTTCTTGAGTCTTGGAATGTCGAATGCCTTGAACTGGGATGAAGATGATCTGCAGGGGTGCCGCTTTGCATGCTGCTTGATCTTGCTCCTTCCAGGTCTCTAGAAGGAGCGGGATGGTGTGGAAGCCAAACTGTAGAGAGTGTGCGCAGGCACGCTGGAGGCCTTCTACATTGCTTCCGGGCATCGCTTCCTGAAAGCAGTAGGCTCTGAGACTAAAGGGTCGGACTAGTGTCTGTAGCAGCAGGCAAGGTGTGCCTCCCAAGGCTGCTCCAATAGCTGCCAGGCAGAGGCGGGGACGGGAGACAAGAGGCGGGGAGGTCGCTGCCTCCACCGCCTGCGCTCACACCCAGTCAGCCAGCAAGTAAGGCCCTGCTGGGGCTGCAGCCCCGCTCTGGGTGTGTGGCTGCTTCCGCCTCTAGGGGAAGGTGAGCTGTTTGCGATTCTCCCGCCTTTATGTCCGTGGTGACTCTCTCTGTCTGACTTGCCCATGAGTCTCCTCGGGAGCTACCGGAAAAAGACCAACAATGATGGCTATGAATCTTTGCAGCTGGTGGACAGCAACGGTGACTTCTGCAGCAGCCGGGAGCGAACCGGCGGCGTCGGCAGCGGCAACCTCGCCAAACAAGGGGTGATCCCCGCGGTGGTAGCAGCAGCGAGGAGCCCAGCGCGACAGCATCAGCATCAGCCGCTCGACTGCAGCACCATGGACAGCTCAGGTAGCAGGTTGACTGCCTCTGCGCGAGGAAGAGAGGCGGGCGGGGCGGGGGGGGAAGGTGTACTTAGGGCCCAACCATCCGGGCGAGGACTGTGTTGGTGGAGGGGTGGACCTGGCCAGGACAGTCTGCCCTCTCTAAGGCGAGGGCCTGCTACTCAAAATTTACAGAGCTTTTAAGAGCAGTTAGTAAGGAAACCCGTCCCTTCTGTCACGCTGTTCCGTTAAGTGCAGAGGGAAAAGGACGGGCGGGGCGCAAAGGATCAGTGTATTGTTCTCGGGCTGCATGTGTGCTTGTGAATAAGTGGGTGGGAGAGAGGAGATGCAGAGAAGACTGCTTCGGGCTCTTTTGCTAGTGTGCCTTGGTGTGAGGCCAAACTATTAGTAATGACCTCTTCGGGGAAACCCTGGAAAGGAGCAAATGTATATTTTCAAAAGTACTCGGTATTTGGCAGTAAATCTTCTGCTTAAAAGGGGTTTTGTTTGATGGCTATTTATTGAAAGAAAGAAAGTGAATGTCGGCACTGGGAAACTACATGTCTATATATATAAAGCTGATGCTGCTTATACGATCTTGAGAATGAGGGTCATTTATTTAACTGTTAGGCTCAGCGCTAATATAAAGCAAGTTTTATTTTTTTGTTACCTTTAAAAGCTAACTGGCAGCCCCAGTTTTTACTTTGAATATAGACTGGGTGAAGCTTAAAACCTAAGCAGCATGTTACTTTAAAAAAAAAAAAAATCCATCAAGTGACACACCTTTTTTTCCTCACTGCAAAAACGAAAAGGCGTATCTGTCTTTATGGGTATGGAAAATGGTGATAGTTAGACCCATAAAAAGATGCTGTATAGCCAGATATTTTATCTGTTGTAAAATCTCCTTAGACAGTTGGATGGTTTATAGAACTAGTAATAAGCTATTCACGGTGATGTCTAACCTCTGATCATCCTGGATTGCTGATCGATTGCATCAATAACCTGCTAGTTATTGACCAATTATCTGCTATGTTCTCAAATTGGTTGATGGGCACATTTCCTTAAATTACATGATTTCTTCAATGCCACCAAAACTAGCACTATAGAAATATATTCATAGTTCTGTTTCATTTCTGATGAAGTCTTCCTTTTTCCTGACTAGAGAACATTTTTTGATGTATAAGCATTTTCCATCAAATGATGTGCTGCTGTTACATTAAGGGAAAAAAAAAACTTCTTGGAGAGTTGAACCTCAAAGTTATCCTGGTTAGATTGAGAATTTTATAGTATTCAGTTATTTTGACATAGTGTCCAATCTTGTTGAGTAATTAGGAGTGTGTGTGTGTGTGTGTGTGTATGTGTGTGTGTGTGAGGGAGAGAGGGATACTCAGGCTTTTTCCAAATTCTCAAACAGTAGGATGTGCAATCTTTAATACTCTACAGTTGAATGAATTGCTTCATAAAACCATATTTCTCTTGGATTAACTTCAAACTGAGTGAGAAAGAAATAGTACTGCTTTTCAAAATTTTGGCAACAAATATAAGGTTATTTCACAATGAACTGAGAAAATGCTAAATCTCATGTTGCTAAAGCCAAATCTCATGTTGCATATATAGCATTTTAAAAGATTTGATATTAACTTTTATCTATATTGAAATAACTGTGTGATATACAGTCGTTACTTTTAATTTACTATTGTAAAGGAAAGGGGTACTCTGTCAGCTGTTAATCATGATTTAAATGTGTCTTTGCTTGCTAACAGTTAAGTATTACCTTCTCTTTATTTCCTTCCTATTTGTTTGATTTAAAAAAATAGTGACAAACTAGACTTCGTAAATTCAGAAATTATGCAGACTCCACTAAATACAGATCTTGGATTGATTTGCTACTTTCAAGAAGGAATAAGATTAAAATAAGTTTTTAAAAATCAAAATTTTACTTTGAAATGTATAGATTTTTGCTTATTTTTGTAGATCAAATTGAAAATATTGATTGAAATTTTGAATTGCAAAATGCTGTTTTGCAATTAACATACTAAATACTTGTATGGACATGGGCAGTGATATATCTGTGTTTATTTTCATATGATCAGTTTGTTGTTATGATTTTTGTTGTTAAAGCTTTCCATGAAAAGGATAAAAATTACCTAATGGGTTTTAATATTCTTACTGGATCTTGTTATCTTGATTTTTTGGGAAATCCAGAGTTGCTGACTTCACTCTTATCAGAGTTAACAATACATCCAGGAGAATTGTTGTTTCACAACATCTGGTGGTTGGCAGGTTCCTAAGGATATAGAAGATGATTACCAAAGGACTATGATAATTATTTTCTGCAAACAATCCTCAAATATTGATCCATTTTTTTAATTTGTAAAAGTTAAACAGCTTCATTTTAAAACCATTTGCAAATATTTTATAAATTAAAAAAACCTGCAACCGTGTGTAATTTTGAGTGGTTTTCCCCCCCTTATAACTACCAAGGGGAGGTGTTCCCAGAAGTTTACACTTTTGGGTAGATTCTAATTTTAGTCATTTAGGCAATATTGGAAGACATTATTTTGTCAATTTTTGGATCATTTCCTCCCCTCGAACTTCAGGAATAAGGATACCCATTGGATGTTAGCTTTCACATCCTCGTCATTACATACTTATGTGTGTGTGTGTGTGTCTGTGTCTGTGTCTGTGTGCATGCCTTTGAGTCAGTGTTGACTCCTAGTGACTGCCTGGACAGGTCTGTGAAGTTTCCTTTACAGGTTTTTGGAAGTGATTTGCCATTGACTGCTTCCTAGGGCTAAGAGGCAAGAGTAAACCTCATATCTCCCTGTTTCTAGCCCAGTTCCTTTAACCACTACGCCAGTGATGGCGAATCTTTTAGAGACCGAGTGCCCAAACTGCAACCCAAAACCCATTTATTTATCGCCAGGTGCCAGGTGGGCATGGCCCACTGGGTGGGCGTTGCTGTGGTGGTCATGACAGACTGGGTGGGTGTGGCCAAGGTGGGTATGGTCACCTCTATATTGTTCATGGGGAGGGACGCCTGTGGGGGCCAGGGGGTCTCTGGCAGGTGGGGCGGTGGGCAGGAGGCTAGACAAGGCAGGGCGGGGGTGCCATTGTCGCAGGGCAAGGCAAGGCAGGGGCCGGGGCAGCTGCTGCCTGACACCATCGGCCTCCGCACACAGAGGCCAGCAAGCGCATGGGGGCCGACAGTGTCCGTCAGTAGCCACAGCCTGCCAGCCCCTCGACCAGTGCACTCTGCGGCTCTGCAGCCCGCCGCCAGCAGTTCAGAGAACCCGCCTCTGAGCTGGACGGCCAGCTGACAGCTGAAGAGGCGATGCAGTGGGTTGTGCCCGGGAAAAGGAGAGCATGTGAGGCCAGGAGGGAGCATGTGAGGCCAGGAGGGATGGGACGGCGGGGAGGGAAACCAGCCATGCTGGGATGCATCCGGCCATGTGGGACCTCAGCGAGTTAGCGGGCGGCTGTTTGAAGAGGGACGTTGCCATCTCTGGGGCATGGCGCACATGCCCATAGAGAGGGCTCTGAGTGCCGCCTCTGGCACGCGTGCCATAGGTTCGCCACCACTGCACTACGCCAAGCAGGCTCTCTGGCCAGCTGTATAATGATAAAGAAGATTCCTCTGTAAGGGTTGGCAATCTTTTGTGGCTATGGATAACATTTTAGGAAGAGGCAAGGGTTCCAGATTGGGTGGAGCAACCTCACATGTATTGGTGAGATGGGTTTGAGGGAGAATTGGAGATTTTTTAAATTTTTAATTACAGGTAGTCTTGGACTTAAAATGACAATTGAGCCTAAACTTTCTGTTGCTAAGAAGTTGTTAAGTGAGTTGCATCCCGTTTTATGACTTTTCTTGCCACAGTTGTAAAGTGTACCACTGCCGTTGTTAAGTGAATCATTCAATCATTAAATGAATCTGGCTTCCCCCCATTGAGTGTGCTTGCCGGAAGCCATCTGGGAAGGTTACCAATGGCGATCACATGACCATGGGATGGTGCAACTGTCATAAATACACGCTAGTTGCCAAACGCCTGGGTTTTGATCACACGACCATGGTTGTAAGGTTGAAAAACCAATCTTAAGTTATTTTTTTTCAGGGCCTTTGTAACTTTGAACGGTCACTAAACAAGTGGTTGCAAGTTGAGGGTTACCTTTATACCAAAGTATCAAACCATTCATAATGTCAGACTACTAAGAATATGCTATTTTAACAATCGTAGGTAGGGGCACTTCCAAGGGCTGCACGTAAGCCTCAAGGCATGAGTTGCACAGCCTTGGTTACTCTAGCTGTTCAATGTGTAGGAATGCCAAGGGAATGAAAATTTGCCTTTGTATTTGCCTTCATGAACGTTTCCTATGGGAATTCTATTGTTGGTAGAAATCAAAAGTAGTCATAGTGAATATGCAGAATAATAAAAATATGTTAATGGTATGAAAATTAGCAATTTTTATTTAAAAAGAGAAGCCTAGTACAGCAGAGGTAGCCTGTGTCACTTGGGTATTCCTGCATTCATTATGCATGAATTCAATCCCCATGTTTCCAAAATTAATGTCCATGATAACAACAACAGCAAAACCCTTTTCCAGTTCTCAAGACTTATGTAAAAGCTATTATAGATTCCAGTAACATTGACACTTAATAAATATGATGACTAAGAAGCATTTCTAAGACTTGTAAATTGTTCTTCATTCAAGTATTTGTTATTTGTAAGATTTATCATTTGAAAAGTCAGATGAGGATTCTTTCACTTTTTAAAATTATTTTCATTTATTTAGCTCCATTCTCATTTTAGAGATGTCTGTTCTGAGCTTTTCTATAGAGTTTATAGCACTGCAATTTCAGCACTAGTACCCAATATATGCACTATTAATCTTCCATTTTATGAGGAAGGCACACATTTCCAATCACTCTTTTATTATATCTAATAATATGTTTTCTGCAAACTGAAGGCAACATAGGAGAAATAATTAAGTTGTATAAGCAAGGTATCCTCTTACATACTGAAGTGCTTA